GCCGGCGTGGGAAAGAGCGGCGAGGACAGCCCGCGGCGCGGCTCTTCGTTCTGGGCAGGAGACCGGGCGGTGGCCAGACTTCAGACCCCGGGAGGAAGCCCCAGACCTGCTGTGCTCCCCCAGCGCTCCGTCCCTCCTCCGCCCAAGGGAGCCCCCGCCATCCCATCCCTTCTTTGTCTTAAAATTCCTGAAACTGGGTTCCCGGAGCAGGGCCCAGCCCAGAGGAGAACTGGGCATCAAAGGGTGGGGTGGGGGCCCCAATTTGTCTCTCCCCTCTTCTTTTCTCTGGCTGAACTTCCTCCCCAGCAGCCCACGGGGCATCCGACTTGAACTTCTGCTGCCCCCCTTCCCCTCTGTCCGGCTGGCCGCAGCCCACCAACACCGGCGGCCGGCACGCCTGTCCATCATCTAAATGCATTTATTTTATGGAAATTTGTGAAGTTTGAGAACCATCCGAAAGGGCAGGTCAGGGCACAGAGCGTCCACACAAAGGACCCTGGGTGGACAGCGAGTGGAGAGCCCTGTGCCCCAAAGCTGAGGCCTGCAGCAGGGTCAGCTCCAGGCCCAGTGGCCAGTGGGCAGCAGACACGACTGGCAGAAAGGCCGGGTCACGCCTGGACTGGCAGCCCTCGGACAGCGTGACCAGGGCCCCCTGGGGCTCTAGGGGTCACCTAGCCTGGACCAGCCCCAGCCTGTGCACCCCTGCAGGCCAGCGCACCCCAGGCTGTCATCAGGGGCTGCTGCCGGGACAGAGACCCCAGGGGGGAGGAGCAGGTGCTCAGCTGGGTCACCTGGACGCTAAAGGTGGCAGGACAGGTACTGGGCTAGGGCTCTGGGGAGCATCAGCAACCCCCCATGGGGAACCCACCTCTCACTTGGGGCAACTCACATCTCTCTTCCTGCTCCCTCCACCACCCCAATTTGGGGGGCACATGGTTCCCACATGATCTGACTGGAGTTCTCCGGGGTGGAGTAATGAAACCCCAGTCTGTCTGCCCTGGGAGGGATGGGGAGACCCTGGGAACCTGCTCAGCGGCTCTGGGGTTTCGGAAGGAATCGCCCGAGAAGCTGGGAACCTGGTTCTTACTCCGCAGGGCTTGCGCACCTGGCTCCGGCTCAGCATGAAGTGAGTGGACTGAGTGGACAGGCGGTGCTGCCCTGAGGAGCCACCCAGGGAGGCCCATTCTCCGAATGCCCCGAATGTCCCGTGGAAACCAGCCAGGGCGCCCTGAGAAGGATTCTCGCTTCCTGGGGAGCCTTGCTGCCAACGCGGGTACTGGCCTACGATGGATGGGGCCTCGCCTGCTTTCACGATGTGGGCTCAGGCGACGGCAACGGGGACCCCAGCGAAGCAGCCCTCTGCAGGCGCTCAGTGGACAGCAGCCTCTGCGACTAGGGGCAGCCATCCGGGCGGGCAGGACGGCAGGACCAGGGCCGTGGGGTGCTGGGCCTGGAGCAGGGAGCAGCGGGAGGGGGCGGCCACGGGGAGGGGCCTCCCGGACCCCAGAGCCCGCCCCATGAGAACACAGCCGCGGTTGGGCACGAACCCTGGAGCCTGGCATCACCCAAATGCCAGCAGCGGGGAAGGTGGGCAGTCGCAGGAGCAGCAAGAATCAGTCTGGGGAGGCCGAGGGAGTCCGTCCCCGCAGCCGCAGCCGCGGTCGGAAAGCCTCCCTCCCGGCCGGCCGCCCGCC